TTGTTCATGTTCACATGGGCGATACTTGTTTGACTCTAGAAGGCCTTGAAAATACTGGCAAGTGTCTACAGATTTCAACCCATCACCTAATTTTTTTAAGTCAATTTCACTGACATCTTTCGCAAAAGCTGGCGCTGGGTTGTTGTACACAGTTTGGTGCACTTTGTCTTTTTTGCAGGTTGCCTTGTTAAATTTAACTTGGTCAAACAATAATGCAGATTCAAGTTTTTCACTGGAAGGAGCATGCCACTGCTGTAGTAATTGTGTACATGTCAAGTCGTCTGGTATTTCTGTTAACTCAAGTTGAATAAAGTCTAAAATTTGAAAAAGCAAAGCGGCCACATGCTTGCAGCAACCACCTTTTCCAGCTTTACATGAGCAACTTGCATGAGTTACTTTACCAGTGTCCTGGCGTAGGTGCACATAAACTGAATAGTTCGCTTTTTTCATCGAAGCATGCACATTACTTTTCACCAGGAAAAACTTTTCAGCGCCTTTAACGAGGTTAGCTTTTACTAAAATTTGGGTAACCATTTTATCTTTAAAGAGTTGGTACCCATACTTTTTGTGCTTGTGAGCATTTGGTGGCTTTCCGTGTTTGGCTGAACTGTCAGTTATCAAATGTTTTGTGAGTAATTCATGGGTGAAAGCGGGAATACCACTCAAGTTTCTGGTCCACAAAATAGACTTTGAGCAAAGGAACTCTTCACCGTTTTCCATTTTTAAAGAAAAATATATCCAGAAACGGTCCAAATAGGTTGGCGGCCAAGCGAGCAATTTATATTTTGAATCGCGTGAATTTTACGTCGTTGAAAAACTCCACCAAAACGCATAAGCAGCACTTAAAAGCACTTAAAAGCACTTCAACACAACAGAAAATTTTTGAAACAAGACAGCTCTATACTTCAAACGGTAACTTTTCGCGCCAAAAAAAGCTCAATGTTTTGGTTTTGGGAAAGAACACTTGATCAAACATGTGTTATTTTAGACCGACCAAGTGTGAAAACATTTTCGTGTCTCAAGCCGTGAGAAAGCAGTCGATTGCCGTATAACTCGGCGAAACGATCATCCTCTTTGTTCCGCTTATTTTAAAAGTAATTTAACTGAACACATACCTTTCGATTGGAAAAGATAGCAAAATTTGTGTCTGGCCATCTTGAATCGAAGCCACAGCACGCTTCGGCAACTCTGTACGCCATGCTGAATATTTCAAAACATTTTCATCGTAGAAACCCGAGACATGGAAAAAATATGAAGCAAGACGTACAGAATTGAAAAAAAACTTTAACCGAAGTCAAAATGATAAGAGTTTTCCGTAAATTTTCACATCAAAAGCTTCTTTCTCTGTTCGAACATGGCAAGCGGCCATGATGGAAAATTCTGCCGTGTAACTAAACTACCATGATCCTTTGCAATTCCGCAAGAGGTCCAATGAACAACCAAATATTCTTCTTCCAGATTCAAACTTCGCATGAGAACCAGAGGTAGATAACATAACAAATATGTTGCAACGACCAAGAATGATGTGACTGTCAGATTCTTCTTTCTTTCTCGGGTTAAAGAGGAATGATTCCCATTAACTTGACTGGCCCATACCTTGTTCGAATCTCGCAATTTAAAGTAGATTTTGGCGTAAGCGTATACAGTAAACGGGTACGGAATAAAGGTATATAGGGCTGTAAATATTCTTGAAAGGTTTTGATACCATGTCCAGATATCACTCAGAATGAAATGGATTAGTAGTATGGTCTGACAACATATGAATACTTTGAAGAAAGAGCGCTTGTGTGGTTTGTATTGAAGCGGGTGGAGTACAGCTATGTAACGATCTGTTGTAATGGCTAAAAGAGTTACGATTGCAAATCCTCCCAAGAACTTCGCTCCATAGACAAGAATATTCCCCAGCGCGCAATACTCAAATTTAGACGGATTGTAAATATTTACCAAGACTACAAACTTAGCGGCTATAAATGAGGATTGGACTATCACAGCGCAAACCAAGCCCTCTACAGCCAGGAGCATTGAAAGAGCCTTTGAAACCTTTCCCAAAGTTTTGTTCCTGTATGTTCCGTACAACACCAGTGAATTTGACAATACGCCGAATATGGCAATGACGATATTCACGAATGTTAAAATATAAGCATTCCACTTGAATCCAACTTCGAACGATACCACCTCTTCCGCGCTGCTGTGGCATCGCCATTTCAGCATGATGACGTTGCTAGATGAAGTGAGTATATAGCGTAGGTTCCACAGCTTTTGCTCTCTTCGCGGTAAATGTTGATCGTAAATTCATTAACACTGAACAGCGATTGTGGATATATATATAGACTCAGGTGTATGAATTAATATTAATAGGTATATGAGAATTAATATTCTAATGAATATAAATAATCCAGGTGTTATGAGTAGGAAATTTTAGTCAATCAGAGCAAAATCGATTCTAGTATATTTTTGTCCTCAGCGAAGTTCTATAAAAGACAACAATGTCTTATTCCATCAATCTTTCACCGTAATTAACAAAAAAATGCCAAAACAACGTCTGAAATAATTGACACGTACCAAAACGCCTGTTAGACAATTTGTGATCACATTTTCAGGTGAAATTCGCTGTATGCAGTAATTAAATTATTCCCAGCATGCACTAGTCATTGAACTACGATTACACTCTAAAGGGCTCTTTCGATAGCGTACAAGATGACTGACATGAAAAGTGCGTTTAAATAAGAAATAAAAGCATATTTTGTGAACTTTAAATTGACTCATTTTTAAATGAACATAATCTTTAAAATTGATCTGAATGGTTTCCTTCAAATATCCGAAGGTAAATTTCAAGTTGTTAGGACTTTATAACAACTCATAACGGATCAGCCAGCCGTATACAAAGTGGGGGGCCACCGAGCAGTTCCCCCTATCCATGTTCCCCCATATGGGTACCCGTACAAATTTCATCCGTGCTCGCCCTTTGTATTGGTATGTTATATTGCCTGAGCACCTGAACACTAATAAAATTAGGTACGGATACAACTTTTAGCCGTACTGTACGAAAAAATCACCGTGGTGATGAGACACGATCTTTGGGAGGGCCAATCAATCCTATACGTATAAAAAAGTAGCGAAGGTCGAATACACCGGAATGTGGTATATTCGATTGATAAGGTGAAATGCGGTACTGGAGAATAGTGATTTTTCAATCGCTCCAAATTGCCCGTTGTTTGGTATAACCTGGATTATAATAACTTTTTTCAATAACTTTTGAGAAATTCGCCGTTATCCCGGTGGATAGCGTTTAAGCGCCGTACGGCTTTCGAACAATTATCCGTGAAGGAGTGAATCCACGAGCACGTCTGCGCCCAAATTTGAAATAGGCCCACGAATTCCTCGAAAAGACGAGTAGGCAATAGGCTCGGTATGCCATATCCTGACAGTCGTCGTGGATAAGAAAGTAAGGATATTAATTATAAAAGAGTTGTCACTGTTGTGCGAGTTTCATAAAAGATTGAGGCGTTTGGGGCAGCCGAGGACTGGGTTCAACATAGCTAGAAAGGCAAAGAATACACAGTCCATGATATCCACATTTGTTTCAAATACTCCAGGGTAAATTAACTAAAATTACAATAACCAAAAGTCCAAGCGAGTTAGCTGAAAATTCATTTGTCGATTCAGCATCTGTTTGAGCGGTTTGGGAACTTCCTAGCTGGTATGTAAGCAACATAGATTCCATGATTAATTAATTTAATTAATATGCAGTGAAATAAAAGTGATACACATTAATTATACTACCATTCATATTTTCCTCCCCCTGCAATAGTGTCCTTTACCTTGAAAATCTCTATTAACGGAAATGCTTTCTTTCTATTCTAGGATCAAAATTGTTGGCACCACAATGACCACATCTAACAAAAGTGCTGGTTATATATTGCCCAGAAAGGTATATAAAATTATACATTATTTATTACATTGATTTATTTTATGCATGTGTTATAATAGTATAGTACATGCAATTTAATTTATGTTATAATATAAATGTTATTTTAAGAAATGGTCTCTATACAAAGCAATATATAATAATGCTCTTAGCCCAGAAATGCCTTTGGGGAATAGCACAGCCTTGGTTTAAAGATAACATCAGTTTGCACATTATAACAGAGCATTGTTCTTTTAATAAAAATAATCCTAATACTATTCGTAATCACAAACACAATTTGAACTGATTATTCCTATCATCATTTACGTTATTGATATTTATTTTACTAAGGGTTTTATTTCACAATTAACACACATACACTGCATTAGTTAAAAAGCAACAAAACCAATTTTTGAAAAAATGGTGCAGTGTTTCCCCTATACCACACCTACTAGGCATGCTGTTGGGATTGTGACAAATTGCATGAATCATTTAAATTACATTTCATACTGCTAAATCTATATGATAATATTTGTGTTTCATGCTTTCAACACTTCCTCACTAATGTCAGCGCATGAAATAAATTAGTTCAATTAACTCCTATATATGTCATGTGCTTTTGGACCTGCAATAACTCTAAAAGTTAATTATTAACCCGAGTGTGAGCTAGGAAGACCAAACCTTGAATACAATCCAATATATGTAAAACAAGACAAGGCAGGAAAATTATGTGTAAGGTTATATTAATTGCATCTCTTTGGCCTTGGTTTATACAGGGAGACTTGTGCCAATGCTTAATGTGATGTTTGTGTCGCCCACTTCATTGCGTTTCTTTGTTATGCTATACAGACAATAGCCCCCAGGGATATACAGAAGGTTAAGGTCATTTGTGTATTTTGTCTAAGATTGTGTGATATTCCTTTCATACACATGCTATATCGCAAATTATCATTACCTATTTCATGCTTTCACAATCTTGATTCATTTTATTATACTATGTTTTAATACATATTGGAATTTCATCTCAGACATGAAAATTTAAACATAGTCATAGGCACAATGATCCTATATGAAAACAGAAATTAACGCTTACCTGTTCTGTAGACATTCTTTCTGTCTTAACAGTGATCTTGGGCCAAATGGATTTTACTCAGCCATTGCAATGTAGATATAGTATAGTCACAATTTGCAAAATAAAATCGAATAACTTCATTAAGGTCTGACAAGGTACGGATGTAGCATGCAAATACGTAAATATTTGCTACATCCGTGTAATATCGGTCACGCTAAGGCTGGGCGGCCAAGATCAAAGAAAATTTTGATATTTTGCGTTCCAGCGTCGGGGCTTGGAATAAATTAGAAATTAAACGCCCATTTGTGGCCACACAATTAACGGTCAGGACACTGTCTTAGGATTGTATATATTTATATATATATATATTTATATGTTTACGATCCCACTTTAGATTACATTTTCACTTTCAATATGCGCAAACTAATAGAATAGTTTTAGTTTTACCCGTGGATGCCTATAGTGAATAATGGCAGTATTAGCTGCTGCCAAACATTTATATCCATGTAAATTCCTGGTACGATGTTGTCTACTGTTATATAGGAAAAGCTTCATAATTAAAACCGGGTGCAACGTGGTCTTGCATCATAAGTGGGATGAAATCTAGTTCGCGAATGTTTGATGACAAACCACGCGTACATATCACATATACGCATCGCGTAAACATTATCACCCCGCCACATGATCGTCGCGCGTACAATACCATTCTCTAATTTTGTCAGCATTTTCTTGATTAATTGAACTTAATTGCTTTTTTGGAAAACGTTTTGGTGCGATAACGTACACGTCAGAATTCACACAGACTGATAAGAGAGATTCGTCGCCCCCATTTGTGCTGGGTTATTGCTAAGTAAATTTTTTAAATACTCTGATACAAACTTTGATAATGCAGTGACAGCGAACTAACATATACAAATATTATCTATAGTTTGGGGTTTAATTTTTTTAAAAGACAGGTTTTATTGAATTAGCTGTATACTAAAAACACATGAATTCAGACCTGTAATTAACAGAAATCCCTTTTGATATTACCGGGTCGTAACTGTATGTGCCTTTTGTATTTACAGAAAAGAGAAAGAGGCAAGTCGAGTTAGAACTACAGAGGATGAAGTGATGACGAAACATGACGATCAAGATGGATTGCCTGAAGATGAAATATAAGCGGTAACCGGTAATCCTCAGAGAAATAAGTTCCCCAATAGCACTATGTTAAGAGGATATATGAATTGTTATATAGCAGCCTAGACTGTCCTCTTGGGTCTAGCCAAATGTGGAGTTTTTTCAATTTTTTCACACACACATTTCTCAATGGGGCTGATTTTACTTTGTGAAATATTTTTACAAAATAGTTCGGAAAATGACAGTTGAATAATTTGCTGACGTTCTCAACTGAATACAAACATTCCACCTTAGCCAACCAGGACGTTGCTGATTTACTCTTTACTCGTTACAGTATTTACTCGTTCAAAATTTTGTGCATGCGCACTAACAAAACCACCCAACGTCAACCGTCCATTACATAAGATTTTTGCAACTTTGGTTTCGGATACAAAATGGTGAAATCATAGATACAGAATACGCTTATACCTGTAATGAAGTCTTTTGAGATTTGCACTACTTACAATAATGAGCTGGAAAGTCCAGTGCCATGTAACTATGAAGACCAGTCAAATACACCGGCGTCCTGAATTGCACGAAATACCCCCATAATCTACACGCAGCCCGATATCCCCCTCCTGATCCCATGATGGCAATCGTTGGCACCTACAATTACGTAACACATTATGAGAATTGTACTAAATTAGGCAGCCCGAATAGCCTGCGGCTCATGTTAACTAGTTTGTTTTTCCAGTGGAATTACCAACAATTAACGTAAGAGATTTGAATAAATTACAATTTTTAGAAAACTCGTACCTCGTCAATGCTCTTCGGTGCTGCAACTTCATCTAGAATTTTTGATATGTTTTTGAATATTTCTGCCTTTCATTTCTTTAAAAATTATTTTTCTTCATCACAGCTTAAGTCATAGCTTAATAGTGAATGACTCAGGTATATGAATTAAACAGAACAAAGGTCGCTAGTTCGGCTCTCATCGTGGTCAAGCTAATTTTTCAGCTTGCTTGGTTGGCACCATCATAATATTAACACTGAATATTGACACGTACCAAAATGTCTGTTAGTCAGTTTGTGATTGGGTCTGCAGGTGAAATTCTTGTCTAATTAAGTTTCCATGATTTCACTCCAATGGGCTCTTTCATGCATTAGCGTAAAAAATGACCGACATACAAAAGTCCGTTTAGATAAGATGTACATTTTAATTCCATAAGAATACCCACTTTGGGAGTCTTACTCTTATGTAAGATAAAATTTATATTAAGAAAATGGTGATATAGTGTTCATAATGCAATTTAATGTTTTTTTCTCTCCTATTATGTATCTCCAATTATGTACACATGCAAAAACTGCAAAAATGATTAATTATATTTTTGCCATATGAATATCTTTAAAATTGACCTGCAGGGTTTCCCTGAAAACAGTGATTCAAAATGAAAAAAAGCGTTTGTTTACATAACGGCACAGCTAAAATGAGTGTCCGTGCCAATTTCATCTCTGCTAGGCTTTTGTATTTGTGTATTACACTAATAAAGTTGGGTACGGATGCCAATTTCAGCTGTGCCGTGCCAAAAATTTGAGTGTAGTGTATAAATGGAGCGCCTTTAACGTACTGCATGCCTACCGGAGCCGGTTGTACGGAAGCTGTACAACGCCAGGCATCCACCTCGGATAGCGATTTCAATCGCTCGAAATATCCTGTTCGGTATATATAACCTGTATAACCTATATACCCAGTCCATGCATGGATATGTGATACATGATATCCACATTTGGTTCAAATACTTCTAAAATTTTAGTCTAAGTGACATTTGGTGAGTCAGTTCAAACCTCATTCGTGGATTCAGTATCTGCATGTCTTGATTGAAAACATCATCGTGATTGAAAACAAAGAACCATCCCTAATTAGCTAATTAGATAATTATTATGCAGTGAATAAAAGTGATATACTATTACATATCAATTATACGTCCCACCATCAAAATTTTCATTGGTCTTCTCAAAACTCACCCTGCATGCTCTTTACGCCTTGCAATTGTTTCCATCAAACTAGGTTAAGCTTGTTAGAACATCACGCGAGAAAAAAATGCCTATTGATATAATGTACAGTAGTTGTTCAAGTTTTTGCTATAGGTAATCATTGCACTATTATTTTCGCGCCGTTTTTCAGTGCATAAAAACTTCGTCGACTTATCCCCGAGATTCATTTTTTCTTATATAGCTATATGTTGCACAAGAAGTGTCGTTCAAAGGCTATAAGAATTTGATCTATCTTGATATAAAAAAGTTGTTAATTAATGAACAAGGGCATGATAAAGGGTTACGATCTCACGTTAGATTATATTTTCACGCATCTCTCAATATACGTTATGTGCGCAAACTAATTGTTAACTGACGTGAATACTTTGATTTTGGAATAGTTTTTGTTCAACCATGAATCAAATATACAACATTTCCAAGTATTTGAAGCGAATAATGCCAGTATTATATAGCGGATGCCAAACTTTTACATGCAAATTCCTGATACAATTTTGTTGTATAGGACAAGCTTTATAACTATAAACCGGTGCAACGTGTACATCTCTCGCGTGAAAACAGAGTGGGATGAAATCTAATGGCAACTCCACGTATGCACATGCATCGCCTATAAATAATTATCTCCCCATATGATCGTCGTGCGTACAATACCATTTCCTAATTTTGTCAGTATTTTATTAAACTTAATTGCGATTTGGAAAAACATTTTGATGCGAAAATGGGCGGATAATTATGCAATACAGCATACATATGTCTCTTAGTTTGAAATATATAGCCTAGTAATCGTAAACATTTTCAAATGTATTAATAGCGGTAGTCGACCATGCATAGGTTATCACGGTACTATGTATATATGCAATAGCTCGTCCATAACTTTCAAGTTTCATTTAAGAAATCAATATTCTTTACATATCTTCAATCTTCGTATTTAATTTCGTTAGGGTAATTTCTAAGCTGGATTTGCATGAAAGTGATAAACAAACACGGAAATTGGCCCTGGGAACGAGGTTGAAAGTGATGGAGTATGAAAATGATCGTTCTACTTTTCTGCTACCCTACCCTCCCGCTGGATGCAATTTATTTAGTTTTCTTTGTTATAGTTGCGGTGTAGGCGTTTTAAATAACCCCACATTTTTCGTGTGAAGTCATTTTTATTTCTGTTAATGTTTGTAGAATTAATTAATATAATGTAGACATTTGTTATTTAATTACCGACGACTAATTAAGCAATCTGTCTGAATGCTGTGAACAAAAAGCAGTTAGCTTAGGCCGTCACAAGTACCTTTCAGGAGAATGTATATAACAGAGAAAGCAATGAAAGTAAATTTCAAACTATGAATTATTGGAATACTTGATAATACTAATAGTGATTTCTGTCCATCATATAGATTGTCACGTATTGATTTCAGATTTCATTATAGTGACAGTGAACTAACGTACAAATATTTGCAGATGGGAATATTTCCAGTGAATAACTTGAATGCCGTATTTCTAACACTGCAAATAAGAAAACAATGAAGGTGACAATTAAACCTTTCGGATGGAATCTGTGTGGCCTAATGCAGGAACGTCGGTTAAATTACTGATTTTTGTTTTGGAAAATGAAACACGATTAAAATAACGTTGTTATAACGTTATGTTATTTTTCAATTCAGTATTGACCGATATCTCAAAGTTATATTTGATTTAATAATCTTTCTCGCGGCACCAGCTATACTATATATAGTTTAAATAAGTGTGCGGAATATATACATATATAACTATGTATATATAGTTGATTCAATTATATGATTGTCGGTTCTCGCATATAGACAAGCTTCTAAGTTCACTAAATTCTGTATTGTTCTCGGAATTGTTACCAAGCCAATTAATTCCTGTAAGTTTACACGTCTAAGTATAAGCATGCAATAGTCCATCTTCCTTGCGCTTATGCAGAGTTTGGGGTTTAGTGTTTTAGAAATACAAATTTTATTGAATTAGCTGTATGCTAAAAAACACACTAAAACAAGAATTCAGCACTTTAATTAATTATAATTGAAGCTGCATGTAACGAAATTTACGCAAGATCTAGAACTTTAAACGTGGGCGACGTTTTTGACAACAAACACGCACCCAAACAAAAACTACATGTATATGGCT